AAAGATCCGAGTCAGCTGCGTGGACGCAGGGAAATATCACAGGTGTGGATTTCACAGTACCACGCAGAAGAATCTGCCTGTACATTGGCAGTGACATCACCTTAAGGACTAATGATGAATGAAGTTTTCCTGATGCTATCTGCCTCATAGTTGACAAGTAAAAAGACACCTAGCCCCCAAAAGAACAATACCAAGGGGAGAGTAGGATGACAGATGCCCAGGTGCCCTTGGTTCTGTGGTGACTATCCCACAAAGATAGGCAGCAAGGGATGGAAAAAGCAGAGACCTGCACAGAAGAAACTACAGTAGGCCTGCACTACTTGTGCCCCTCCAGGTGTTTTGAAATTCAGCTCCCAAACACCTGGAGGGCTACAGGTTGTGTAGGCCTAGACTACAGCATTAAAGAAAGGGTTACAATGGCCCTTTGATACTCACTGGAGTTTGGTTCCATGACCCGCCCCAGCAAGAATACCAAAATCCTTGAAAGCTCAAATTCCATGATATAAGATACCATATAAAAACCGTGTCCTTTATATAAATTGGCAAAGATCAAGGTTTGTTTTTAATCTCTAGCACAAGATTAAAAAGAAAGAAAGATGATTTTTGAATCCAAAAATCTAGCCAGACTGAATTATCATTTCATTTGAAAGGAGGAAGTGGCATGGAGAAGCAGTACATGTATGAATCGTTAAAAGGCTGCCTCAGTCCAAAAGGAATCTCCCAGCCCTAGCAAGCATCTCATGTTGTATGTTGAAAAGAAAGGGTTTTAAACATGTTGATTTCATTTGTAGGCCAGCTCTAGCTTCATATGTTTCTAGTTTCCAATCACTGTTTTATAGAAATACTTATTTAGATGCTTGCATACGTTTTTGATAAGTAGGTGCACACTTGTTTTCCTGCTGGAATACATACATACTAATTATATAGCATTTAGTTTTTATGATGGTTAAGAAACGAAGTCTGAACTTATCTCAATACACATACAAGAGCAAATATGGAAAGCATTCTGAGCTACACTTAAAGACAAGCCAGCCCCAATGTTACACAACAATGCAAGGGAGATCACTTTGGGCTATTCTCGCCATTGTAGGTTTGAGGCAACTTTCTATCATACCTTATACAACCTCTGTTCTTCTGGGGGTCTCTTAAGAATCCCCTCAACAATTCTTTTCAGCTCATACACTGTACTGGACTCCTTGGCGTCTGTGAAGATGGTTGTCTTGTTATGTCGGATCATTAGAAAGACGTCCTGTGGAGGGGGAGCAAAGACCAGCAATAGGTGGTTAATCTGACCAGTACACAGCATTTAATAGCTAAACACATTTTAGTAGTACAAGAGATGCAAGCTATTTGTGGCTTAAAATATAAAGGTGTGTGCATGGAACATTCAATCTTTCAGGAGAATCCCTATCTGCTTTCTTGAAAGCAATTTTTACCTGTCACAAGTTTCCCAGTGAATTGCTATTTACGAAGATGAGTAAAATCTCTTATTTACAGAAAACAACCTAACACCAGATCCAACTTATTTGTTGAACTAATCCTGTATTGTCTGCTTTAGCAGGCACAGGTTTTTCTCAGGTTTTTCACTGTAATCTATTGGAGGCACCAAGATTTCATCATGGGTGTTTCTGAATGCAAAGCAAGTTCTTTACTATTGAACCATGAGTTTGAGACCCTGGAGCTATACACAACTATTTTACCCAAGTATCTGTAAGATGCCAGCACAACAATACAGAGAAAGACAAACAAAACACCAGAGAGACAACTCCCAAAATAAGGGGAAATGCTTGTACATATTATCTTGCTCACACATAAGATTACAATTATTATATTCAGCCCCAGAGATATTTGGTTGGATCTGTACATGCAGCAGAAGATGGTGGAATAAATGGTACCATCAAGACTGCAGGTGAAGGAATTACTTTATATTTATTTTACTCTATCCTTGGGCTTTAGAGGCTCCCAGAGCAACATATAACAATTAGCAGAATGTGGGATCCTGTCTGCAGGCATCTAATCTAAATTCAAGCTATGTCACACAAACGATAAGATATGAGGAGGGAGAAGAACGTTCAGGTGACAGTTCTTAGAATATCCACCTGGATAGAAATAGTGGAGGAAGCCTGCTGGAATGGCTGTCACTGGTTGAGAAAAGAGAAGACAATTGAAATGCTTGCAGCCTCTAAGCCCCCACCCTAATTTCTTCTTTAAGTGGCAGAGCCCAACACAAATAATGTATCCTTCAGATGTGCTCGATAACAACTCCCATCATCCATTGATCATGCTAGATGGGGAGGTAGTCTAGCACACCCAAAGGACACTGGGCTAGAAAAAGGCCACCTGAAAGCTTGGGCAGGCAACCTTTAGTCCGCCAAATATTTTGGTTAAAAAGGCTCATATCCCCTTGCCATTGGGTACACAGGCAAAGACTGATAGCTTCTAAAGGCCAGAACATCTGTACAGCCCATGTAGTCCCATTTCTGAAGGATGAGGAAAAACTTAGAACAATTTTTTCTTGCCAAGCTCTGAGGTGCTACAAATGGCATCTTGTTTTAAGAAACTGCTTAGGTCTGAATATTCTTACCTCCATTATGTACAAAAAACTAAATGCACCTAGTATTTTGGCATGCCTTTGTTCCCTGAAATATACTCTAATACAATTTTGACTGATGTCCCACACACTTTCTCAAGTATTTGTCAAATGTAAATCAGGTATGAGAAATGCCAATCAATTTATTTTAGCCTAACCAGTGAGTCAGACACGTCAGATAACTCGTAATCTAATTTCTTTTCTACTTATCAATATTGGCTTCAGCTGCCACCCAATATTTCAGAACATAGACCCAGAGCTTAGAAGATATACTTTTCCTGGCTACATTAATCCAAAAGATTGTGGGATTTGAAATTAAACCAAAATCCCTCGACCCTCATTGTGTGTTCATCTAGTTAATATCTGTCCTTATACTATATCAAGCACAAGACAGCAGAAGTTGACATTAAGAACAGCCACAAGGCCTTCAACCAAACAACTGGGCCAAGATGGCATAAACAAACTGACCTGGACCTGGCTCTCTAAATATTTTGGACTTCAGCTCCCAGAAGCCCCATCAGCATGGTTTATAGTAAGGGACTGTGGGAAGTGCCCTGCAAAACGATGGTCTAGAATCCCTCATCCCTGAATTCAAGTGTAAAAGAAACCTCAGGGAGACGTAACTTCTCCAGAAGGCAACTTGCTAGTTCACCCTGAACTACCTCACAAGGCTGTTGTGAGAAATAAACAGATCTGTGTGTTAAGGACAGGACTACATTATCCTGAGTTCCAATGATGGAAGAATAACAAATGAAATAAATCCATTGTGTCCCTCTCAGAATGTATATAGAATACTCTCAGTTAACCGGCACCCATGGAGATTGACTTAAAGTAACATAGTTCTACCTTGTTAAACCTGTATTTTAATTCAGATAGGTATTGTTTCTTTAATTTGTTTACTGGTTGCTTGAGAGTTCTGGTTCACTGAGAGTTGATTTTATACCTTTTAAAATCTAATAGCAACTATGGTGATTCTTTGAAGGTTAAGTAAAATGTTTATATGAAAGAATAAACATTACAAAAACAAACAGTTACAAATTTCATACTACAATTTTACACCAGGTTTTCAAATGTCAGCCCTATTCAGTCATGCACTGCTTGCATGGCTGAAACACAGAGTTGTAACCCTCGCCTATTTCGTTTGTAATTTTGCAACACTATTAGAATCATTACTGCTATTCAGGAATCATAATATTAACAATAACCACAACCATTCACGTCCCACTTTCCTTTCTCAAAAACAGGGGTTCCCAATCTTTGGACCTCAAGGTGTCTTTAACTTCAACTTCCAGAAATGCTAGCCATCTTACTAGCAGTGAGGATTTGTGGGAGTTGGAAATAAAAAACATCAGGAGGCCCAAAGGTTGGGAACCTCTATAGGCTCAAAAACCCCTTCCACACAGCTGTATAAAATCCACATTGAACTGGATTATATGCCAGTGTGGACTCAGATAATCCAGTTCAAAGCAGGCTTGTCTCCAACAAACACCATAACCTCTGAGGATGCCTGCCATAGATATGGGTGAAACATCAAGAGAGAATGCTTCTGGAACATGGCCATACAGCCTGGAAAACTCACAGCAACCCAGTGATTCTGGCCATGAATGCCTTCAACAACACAGTCTACTGGCTGTTAGAACTGTGGGAGTTGAAGTTTAAAACACCTAGAGGGCCGAAGTTTGCCCAAACCTAGAACCCACTGCTGGTTTGAAAACAGAGCAAATGTCCAGGAAGACATTTCCACCTTGTCTCTTGACTATGTCATTAGCTAGGAGCCCCTTCCCCCAGCACCAACCACTGCTCTGGACCAGAGTGAAGAGAGAGGGAACCAGGAAGATAGTTCCACCTTGTCTCCTGTGCTATGCTAATAATATAATATATTGTATATACATATAATATTTATAATACTATAATGTAATGCAATATAAAACAAAAAATAACACAATATTATAATTATATATTTTATATTACATACAATATTACTAATAATATTACAATATAATGGTACAGTAAAAAAGTAAAGGTTTCCCCCGATATTAAGTCCAATCGTGGCCGACTCTGGGGTGTGGTGCTCATCTCCATTTCTAAGCCGAAGATCCAGCATTGTCCGTAGACACCTCCAAGGTCATGTGGCCAGCATGACTGCATGGAGCGCCGTTACCTTTCCGCCGGAGCGGTACCTATTGATCTACCCACATTTGCATGATTTTGAACTGCTAGGTTGGCAGAAGCTGGGGCTGACAGTGGAAGCTCATGCCCCCCCCCCCCCAGATTCAAACCTGCGACCTTTTGTTCAACAAACTTAGCAGCTCAGTGGTTTAACCCACTGCGCTACCGGGGGCTCCAATGGTATAGTATAGTATAGTATAGTATATATATATGTGTGTGTGTGTGTGCTGCCCTTCTCACCCCGAAGGGGACTCAGGGCGGCTTATAACATATATACATACATACAATATACTATTAGCATAACACAATATCAGTATTATATATTACTATAATGGTATAGTACAATATAGTAGTATATAATACTGATTTATTTATCGTGTCAGTATCAACCACACAATTGTATTACATTTTAAACAAATTTTTAACAAATAGACAAAACGGAGTTTGCAAGCTTGGTAGTTGATTAAATATCCTTTGAACACTTGGAGTTTCTCTGGTGTTGCTGCAAGAAGGTCCTCCATTGTGCATGTGGCAGGGCTCAGGTTGCATTGCAGCAGGTGGTCTGTGGTTTGCTCTTCTCCACACTCGCATGTTGTGGATTCCACTTTGTAGCCCCATTTCTTGAGGTTGGCTCTGCATCTTGTGGTGCCAGAGCGCAGTCTGTTCAGCGCCTTCCAGGTCACCCAGTTTTCTGTGTGTCCGAGGGGGGGGGGAGTCTCTCATTTGGTATCAGCCCTTGATTGAGGTTCTGGGTTTGAGCCTGCCACTTTTGGACTCTTGCTTGCTGAGGTGTTCCAGCTAGTGTGTCTGTAGATCTTAGAAAACTATTTCTTGATTTAAGTCGTTGACGTGCTGGCTGATAACCAAACAAGGGATAAGCTGGAGATGTCTCTGCCTTGGTCCTTTCACTATTGGCTGCTACTTCCCGGCGGATGTCAGGTGGTGCAATACCGGCTAAAACAGTGTAATTTCTCCAGTGGTGTAGGGCGCAGACACCCCATGATAATGCGGCATGTCTCACTGTTTTAGCATCTGATATTGTGCTATGCTAATAATATATTATTTATTTATTTATTTAGTATGCTTCTACCCCACCCTTCTCAACTCCCGAGGGGGGACTCAGGGCGGCTTACAAAATGGCATAATTTGGTGCCTACACAAATACAATAACATATAAAAACAGCAATTAAATTGTTAACAATTAAAACAATTAAAACAACAATATATCTCACAGTTGATAGCCAATCTCAAGCACAGCGTTCGCCAACTCCATACTTCGCCGAGTCCATACTTCGTTCCACATGGTCTATTCCTATCCGTCGTCACAGTCCTTTATTCATCTGCCAGATTGACCAAACGCCTGGTCCCACATCCATGTTTTTAATTTCTTTCTGAAGGAAAGGAGGGATGTTGCTGATCTAATTTCTCCGGGGAGTGAATTCCATAGGTGAGGAGCCACCACTGAGAAGACAATCTCACTTGTGACAGAGGCGGGGCCGAGAGCAGGGCCTCCCCAGAGGATCTCAGACTCCGAGGTGGGACGTAGAGGGAGATGCGTTCGGACAGATATGCTGGGCCGGAACCGTATAGGGTTTTGTAGGTCAAAACCAGCACTTTGAATTGTGCTTGGAACTGGATCGGCAGCCAGTGGAGCTGACACAACAGGGGGGTGGTATGCTCCCTGTATGACGCTCCGGTGAGCAATCTGGCTGCTTCCCGCTGGACTAATTGAAGTTTCTGAACAGTCTTCAAAGGCAACCCCACGAAGAGTGAGTTGCAGTAATCTATCCGGGATGTAACAAGAGCGTGGACCACCGTGGCCAGATCCGACTTCCCAAGGTATGTTGTTCATTCGTTCAGTCGTCTCCGACTCTTCGTGTCCTCATGGACCAGCCCACGCCAGAGCTCCCTGTCGGCCGTCACCACCCCCCGCTCCTTCAAGGTCAGTCCAGTCACTTCAAGGATGCCATCCATCCATCTTGCCCTTGGTCGGCCCCTCTTCCTTTTGCCTTCCACTTTCCCCAGCATCATTGTCTTCTCTAGGCTTTGCTGTCTCCTCATGATGTGGCCAAAGTACTTCAACTTTGTCTCTAGTATCCTTCCCTCCAGTGAGCAGTCGGGCTTTATTTCCTGGAGGATGGACTGGTTGTATCTTCTCGCAGTCCAAGGCACTCTCAGAACTTTCCTCCAACACCACAGTTCTCAAGGTATATACATCTTGAAAGCCGCTCTGAGTCCCCTTCAGGGTGAGAAGGATGGCATATAAATACCATGAATAATAAATAAAATAAATGAAGGAGGGGGGAGAAAATGGTCGCCATTGACAATACTGGGAAAAATACATAGTACAAAAGAGTGAAAACAGAATGTGAACTGGGAATTCAGAGTTTGAGGAAGAGGCTCGGGGTGTGTGTCTGTGTCTGAGTTCAGAAGGAGAGAGGCAGGATGAGGAGGGGAAAGAGAACGCCTCACCTGAGTGGAGAGACCCAGGTGAAAGGGAGGGAGGGAGGAGGAAGTGTCTGCCAGGAGCTTGTTTGGCTTCTCCTTCGGAGTGCGGCCTTGCTTTGCTAGCGACAGCCTCCCCGCCCCTCCCTTGGGGAGCTCCCCCTTGGACTCACCATTTCTGCAGGAGGAGCAGGAGCAGCGACCTCTCAGCCCAGAGCCCCTCAGACAGGAAGAAAAACCAGCCAGAAATCCCCCAGGATCCCAACATGCACCGCAACCCCGGTTTCCACAAGGAAATAAGCGACTGCGCACGCGCGCCCGGAAGGCCCAGGAGCGCTTTCATGGCGGAAGGAGAGCCTGAGAAACTGAAAGAGACTCACGGGAGGCACCAGGGAGACCATCGAGATTGGGAGAGGCGGGGCCGGCGCCGGCCCGATTGGACTCCCTGCCATCTTGGGAAGGGAGCGCTACACCGCAAGGACGCTTCCTGCCACTTCGAAATCCAACGCCTTCTAACGTTTTTCCAACGGCCCCCCCCTGGTTTTTATAGCCGCGGCGTTCCATCCTGTCTCCATGGCAACGAAGGGAAAGGATGTTTTCGCCATCTTGGGAAGGTCAACAACGTACCCTGTTGCCCCATTAGGGCAGATCAGAACGACGTTGCCTGGGAGCCATGTTGTGAAGGTCGCTTCCGGTCTGATCCGGATGACGTAACCGCTTCCCTCGAATGCCTCCGTGATGGTAATAAGTTAACCCAGCTTTAGGGAAAGGGCAATCTGAAGCCGCCGTCGCCATCTTGAAAAGGGCATTAAGGGCGGGGAAGAGCCGCCATTTTGTAGTTCAGCTAGTTTTTTTTTTTGTAACTGAAGAGTTTCGTTCTTGTATAAACACTTTAGTAACAACATGGATTTCTAATAGCGTTCTATATCTTCCACACAGCCAGCATATCAAGGCATATACTCCACAATATCTGCTTTGAACTGGATTTTCTGAGTCCACACTACCATATAATCCAGTTCAATTATATGGTGTAGTGTGGACCATATAATCCAGTTCAATGGTGCCCCCGGTGGCGCAGTGGGTTAAACCCCTGTGCCAGCAGGACTGAAGACCGACAGGTTGCAGGTTTGAATCCGAGGAGAGGCGGATGAGCTCCCTCTAACAGCTCTAGCTCCTTATGAGGGGACATGAGAGAAGCCTCCCACAAGGATGATAAAAACATCAAATCATCCAGGCGTCCCCTGGGCAACGACCTTGCAGATGGCCAATTCTCTCACACCAGAAGCGACTTGCAGTTTCTCAAGTAGCTCCTGACATGGCAAAATAAATAAATAAATCCAGTTCAATGTGGATTTTATACAGGGGCCTAGTCAAGTTTATTCTGCATTAGCTATTCTGCATTTTCCATTAAAACAGACCACTTTCATCTGTCCATACATGTCAAAACATGTTGTTTGTCTTCTCACAAAAAGAAAGTCATCTGGCCCAATTCAAGGAGCAGGTTTTGACCTACAAAGCCCTGAACGGTTTGGGACCCGCCTACCTTTGTGACCGCATTTCCGTCTATGAACCCACACGACCTTTTCGATCTTCCGGAGAGGCTCTTCTCTCGCTCCTGCCTGCATCGCAAGTGCGACTTGTGGGGACGAGAGAGAAGGCCTTCTCTGTGGTGGCCCCCCGGCTCTGGAATTCAATCCCCATTAGGCAAGCCCCCACGCTGGCAATCTTCAGGAGGAACCTGAAAACCTGGTTATTCCAATGTGCCTTCAGTGATTGAATGTAAGGTACTCCCTGACCAAATTTTGCACAAAATGACCTCAGAAGCGCTTTATTTTATGGTTCGTGCAATTAAGTCCTTCCTCATCCTGGATCTCCCTTCCCAATAATTTACATTACCCAATCTCCCAGTATTTTAAAATTTTTATCCTTAAATTTGGCCCTGCCCCGTGTAATTCTGTGTTTAATGTCCGATTTGATATTGCTGTGTTGCTTATTATATTGGTTTTGCATTTTATGTTTTTTTCCTAGTTCTGTTATGCTTTTGTGTTATATTGTGTTTACTGTACTGATGGGCGTGGCCTCATGTAAGCTGCCCTGAGTCCCCCTGGGGGAGATGCAGCTGAGTATAAATAAAATTATTATTATTATTAAAGGACTTGTTTGCCATTGCCATTATTCTTTGCCTCGGTCTTCTCACAAAAAGAAAGTCATCTTCAACCTCAGCAAGATGGAGTGGATGAGGGATTTGAGGACATCCAACCCCAAATTGGGAAACAAGTCGTCCAGGAATACCTGGCCGCTCTAAATGAGTTCAAGCCCCCAGGGCCAGATCAACTACACCCAAGAGTATTGAAGGAACTAGCGGAAGTCATTTCGGAACCATTGGCAATCATCTTTGAGAGTTCTTGGAGAACGGGAGAAGTTCCAGCAGATTGGAGGAGGGCCAATGTGGTCCCAATCTTCAAGAAGGGAAAAAAGGATGACCCAAACAACTACTGGAAAAGATTGTTAAGGAAGCGGTCTGCAAACACTTAGAAACAAATGCAGTCATCGCTAATAGTCAACATGGATTTATCAAAAACAAGTTATGCCAGACTAATCTGATCTCTTTCTTCGATAGAGCTACAAGCTGGGTAGATGCGGGGAATGCCGTGGATGTAGCGTACCTGGATTTCAGTAAGGCCTTCGACAAGGTCCCCCATGACCTTCTGGCAAGGAAACTAGTCCAATGTGGCTAGGCAAAACTACGGTGAGGTGGATCTGTAATTGGTTAAGTGGACGAACACAGAGAGTACTCACTAATGCTTCCTCTTCATCTTGGAAAGAAGTGACAAGTGGAGTGCCGCAGGGTTCCGTCCTGGGCCCGGTCCTGTTCAACATCTTTATTAATGACTTAGATGAAGGGCTAGAAGGCAGGATCATCAAGTTTGCAGACGACACCAAATTGGGAGGGATAGCCAATAGTCCAGAGGACAGGAGCAGGATTCAAAACGATCTTGACAGATTAGAGAGATGGGCCAAAACTAACAAAATGAAGTTTAACAGTGACAAATGCAAGATACTCCACTTTGGCAGGAAAAACGAAATGCAAAGATACAGAATGGGGGACAATGCCTGGCTCGAGAGCAGTACGTGTGAAAAAGATCTTGGAGTCCTCGTGGACAACAAGTTAAACATGAGCCAGCAATGTGATGTGGCGGCAAAAAAAGCCAATGGGATTTTGGCCTGCATCAATAGGAGCATAGTGTCTAGATCTAGAAGTAATGCTACCCCTCTATTCTGCTTTGGTTAGACCACATCTGGAATATTGTGTCCAATTCTGGGCACCACAATTCAAGAGAGATATTGACAAGCTGGAATGTGTCCAGAGGAGGGCGACTAAAAGGATCAAGGGTCTGGAGAACAAGCCCTATGAGGAGCGGCTTAGGGAACTGGGCATGTTTAGCCTGAAGAAGAGAAGGCTGAGAGGAGATATGATAGCCATGTATAAATATGTGAGAGGAAGCCACAGGGAGGAGGGAGCAAGCTTGTTTTCTACTTCCTTGGAGACTAGGACGCGGAACAATGGCTTCAAACTACAAGAGAGGAGATTCCATCTGAACATTAGGAAGAACTTCCTGACTGTGAGAGCCGTTCAGCAGTGGAACTCTCTGCCCCGGAGTGTGGTGGAGGCTCCTTCTTTGGAAGCTTTTAAACAGAGGCTGGATGGCCATCTGTCAGGGGTGATTTGAATGCAATATTCCTGCTTCTTGGCAGGGGGTTGGACTGGATGGCCCATGAGGTCTCTTCCAACTCTTTGATTCTATGATTCTATGATTCTACCGTCCGGTCAGCCTCACCTCGATACCAGGCAAGATTCTGGAAAAGATTGTTAAGGAAGTGGTCTGCAAACACTTAGAGAAATAAATGCGGTCATCACTGATAGTCAACACGGATTTATCAAAAACAAGTCATGCCAGACTAATCTGATCTCTTTTTTCGATAGAGTTACAAGCTGGGTAGATGCGGGGAATGCCGTGGATGTAGCGTACCTGGATTTCAGTAAGGCCTTCGACAAGGTCCCCCATGACCTTCTGGCAAAACTAGTCCAATGTGGGCTAGGCAAAACTACGGTGAGGTGGATCTGTAATTGGTTAAATGGACGAACCCAGAGGGTGCTCACCAATGCTTCCTCTTCATCTTGGAAAGAAGTGACGAGCGGAGTGCCGCAGGGCTCCGTCCTGGGCCCGGTCCTGTTCAACATCTTTATTAATGACTTAGATGAAGGGCTAGAAGGCAGGATCATCAGGTTTGCAGATGACACCAAATTGGGAGGGATAGCCAATACTCCAGAAGGCAAGAGCAGAATTCAAAACCATCTTAACAGATTAGAGAGATTGGCCAAAACTAACAGAATGAAGTTCAACAGTGACAAATGCAAGGCACTCCACTTAGACAGAAAAAATGAAATGCAAAGATACAGAATCGGGGACGCGTGGCTCAAGAGCAGTGCATGTGAAAAAGGTTTTGGAGTTCTCGTGGACAAAGTTAAACATGAGCCAACAATGTGATGCGACGGCAAAAAAAGCCAATGGAATTTTGGCCTGCATCAATAGGAGTATAGTGTCTAGATTCAGGGACGTCATGCTACCCCTCTATTCTGCCTTGGTGAGACCACACATGGAATATTGTGTCTAATTCTGGGCACCACAATTGAAGAGAGATATTGACAAGCTGGAATGTGTCCAGAGGAGGGCGACTAAAATGATCAAGGGTCTGGAGAACAAGCCCTATGAGGAGCGGCTTAAGGAGCTGGGCATGTTTAGCCTGAAGAAGAGAAGGCTGAGAGGAGACATGATAGCCATGTATAAATAAGTGAGAGGAAGTCACAGGGAGGAGGGAGCAAGCTTGTTTTCTGCTGCCCTGGAGACTAGGACATGGAACAATGGCTTCAAACTACAAGAAAGGAGATTCCATCTGAACATGAGGAAGAACTTCCTGACTGTGAGAGCCGTTCAGCAGTGGAACTCTCTGCCCCGGAGTGTGGTGGAGGCTCTTCTTTGGAAGCTTTTAAACAGAGGCTGGATGGCCATCTGTCAGGGGTGATTTGAATGCAATATTCCTGCTTTGGCAGGGGGTTGGACTGGATGGCCCATGAGGTCTCTTCCAACTCTTTGATTCTATGCTTCTATGATTTGTACCATTAAGGCTCCTGCGTAGCTTGATCGATCTCCCCAAACTTGGCATACATATCCTTCATTGTCCAGCTTTAAAAGATTTGAGGGCTTTGAACTAAAATAATTGCCCCTTTCAGGTCCAT